TATCAACTAAATGTAACCCCTAAACCCAACCTATGCGTTACGACCATATCTATAAAATTATGATAAAATTATCCAAAACATTTTTCAATAATTTATATCCATATTATGAATAAACACCTTTTAAAAAATAGTTATTAATAATAAGTTTTAATTCGAGTAATATATACACCTATAAATGTTTGAGTAAAACAAAATTTTTCAAAAATCAGTATTGATGTAATTCTAACATCAGTCACAAAAGAAATACACGTCGCAAGACAAGTATTTCAAAATAAATAGGCACATGTCACCCATCACAATGACAAATCAGAAGATAAAAACATTACAACAAAATAATATTGTACGAATGTGTCAATCCTCCAAGTGTCAGGTCTAGGTCAGCTATCAAAAAGTATCTAAAAGAAAAAAGTTTGAAGGAGTGAGCTAGGGAGCTCAGTGTGTTCCAACAGTGCAAAATAAAAACATACAATTAAGTTTCAAAATCGGTTCATAATCAAAGTTATGAAAACGATAGTAGAATTGTAATTTAAAACACAGAACAACCCTCTAGCCGTACACTATATGTAATTCCCCATAACTGCATCCATAATGATTTACCCTAGGCACAAAGGGCATAGATGCCAACCTAAGAGAGCACCTTGGGTCCATAAGGTTTTATCCTAGCTGAAGCGTAGGTTCCCACATGAGGGGTGTGCCCTTAGGCCCATAAAGACTTACCCAATGCACATAGCAGAGGAGCCACCCTAAAAGAGTACCTTATGGTCCATAAGGTCTTACCACTAGGCCCATTGGGCTGAGAAGCCCACCCAAAGGTTGCATTAGGTCAATGAGAAATTATCAGCTTGATCGGTGCTGAACTTGCATGAGGAATTACTAGCTGATCGGAGTTGAACCTATAAAAACTTCATACCAGATCCCAGAGTACCCCAAAGAGAATAATTTTCAAATAGTAACTAACAATAGCAAGGAAATCAGAGTTCCAAAAGATATCAATTCAGTAAAAACAGTAACTAGAGAACATGAATCAGATAATCATGCTTAAAACTTCAGTAAATCATAAATCAGGCTTGAAACAGATAAATCATGTGAAATTAAATCAGATCGGGTAGCCATATTGAAAATAAGGTAAAACAGTCATGTGCGCATGATATTTCAAACTGATATATATATATATAGTACACAAGGAACACACCTCGCAAAATGGGTTAGACCAGGAGTTCTACTGAGTACTAGTCTCGTCATGCTTTACAGTAGTGCACAATCCTAAATTATATCATAACAGAGTTACTACCCGAGTAATATTCTAAACGAATTATTTATAAGGGTTATAGAACCATGTGATTGATCAAATCTTACGCGTACAGATGGATCGGGAGGTATTGGATCGAGTTTCAAATTTTTCTCTCACATACCCGGACCATCAAATATACGAACTCGATTCCCAAAATAATTTCCCTCGCCATAAAAATAATTTATTATAATCTAAAAAATAATTCGAAGACCCTATTGGTAAAACTAGAAACTGGTGGTGCTATTATAATATTTAATTACTAAAATGAGGGCTAAAACGAACTAATTAAACTAACAAAGCTAGGATGAATACTAAAATCGGATAACAAAATCAAAATATTACCGAAAATGGAAGACTGAATATGTGATTTGTCCATCTCCCTTTACAAAAACCATGTGACCTTTGAAGTAAAATTTGAAACAATTATGGCAAGATCATAACAATTTGGAAGTTATAAAACAAGCTTATTCTTTTACCAAACTTTGATGACTTATCTTGTAATTTTCCCATTATCACTTTATTAACAATCTCCAAAACCACGTGCACCTGAACCATTCTTTATTTCCCAATTTATGTTATTTCTTTTAAATTCTCCCCCAACTGAAAGCTCTGTAGGAAGACAAAGAAGCTTCATCGACCATTATTCAAATGCCGATGACCACCTTGTTGGTCGTCGTCGACGGTAGCCAACCAAGACCCAAGTTGCGTCATTCGAAGCACCTTGGTGTCCTCTCCATGAATCTGTCCTCTTTTAGTCGAGAAACTCCGTGGATAGTCGTGGATCTACCGAAAAAATATTTATCTTTCTGGAAATAAAAGGCTTTTGCTCACTGTCGACAACCGTCCAATGGAGCCATGTTTACAATATGTTGATCCTCGCTACCATACCACTCTTCCAACCGTACGAATCTTCCAACCAGCATCGTAATCATCGAAAATCGAAAGACTTACCCCCATTGACATTTGTATTTCATTTCTTGTTGATTATTGATACCTGGATATAATTCCTTGGTCGTTTGGTTACAGGTGATGACATGGTGCATGAATGAACTTGCATAGTCAATCATTCAACACTATCGGAGCTGACGCTGTTGGAACACTATCACTGCTGTTACCGGAGGAGAGAAGGTTGTTGTTGTCGTTTTTGGTTTGGGTTAATGATATGAGGTCGAAAATACTGATGGCTCGAGTTAACGGCTTAGGCCATCTCCAACCCTCATCTGTACTCTACAATATCTCTATCTCTACTATAAAGATGAAACATTAATTCATCTCCAGCATTATATCTATATTACCACCAACTCTACTTTATTTATAATATTTAACTATTATAATATTAATTTTGCAAATATAAAATAAAACATATACATTTCTAATAAATATCAAGATAAAAAACATAAATAATACATTCATAAATAACAAAAAAAAGGAAAACAAAAGGAAAATAACAAAAGAAATTAAAAAAACCAAAAATTAGAAAGAAAAAAAATGTAGTGCAGCTACAGTGCAACTCCAGTTGTGGCGTGCACTGTAACCCGACGCCACAATCCAACATAACAATAACAATGGACTGGAGCACGCCAAAGTGGAGATGAATGGCACTCCAGCGATGCGCTGGAGATGGCCTTAAGGCTTGCTATGTGTCGATTAAGTGGGTTGACGAGTAACCATAATAGTTCCCCAATTCTCTTATTTAAATCTAAACTTTTGGACCAAAATATCTTATTAATTTATGGTTCCAAATATTTTGGATAAAATAATGAAGTTCACATCAGACAAAAGATGGAGAATTCACGTGAATTCTAGAATCCCTTAAACCTAAAGAGGGTCAAATTTACACATAAAGTTCCTTAATTCTTCTCAACATGTCTAGTTAATCCAACATTATAATTAGATTTATACTTCAAACCCTATATTTAACTAACAAAAAAACCAACCCCACAAAGTGGGGTGTAACATGGTGATTTTGAAATTTATTTTATAATAAATATTAAGAATATTATTATATTCATAATAAAAACCTTAATTTCTCTTAAATTATAAAAAACTCCAAATTCTTAAAATTTTCAAATCCTAACCTTAACCACCATCGTCGACGTAGTCCCTGCAATCCTCCTAGTCATACGACGTCGTATTTCCTGTTGATTGACCGTCAGAATCGTGTGGGATCGTGATTTTTTATCCTAGGGTTCATGGGGGTACAAAACGTCAATTCGTCGTCGATCGATCATGATTTAATAGGGGTTTTGTTCGTCGGGGGAAGTGAGGTCGGGTGGATTTTCATTAACGGCAAAGGGCGACGACTTGTATATGTTTAGGGGTTAAATGAAGGTTTTCAAAATTTTGAGGTTATTTCAATTTTTGTGTTTTCTTTTTTAAAAAGTATATAATTTTAATTTTTAATTTTTAAATAATTTTTTTAAAAATATAAGATTGTGACACGTGTTACTTAACAGAGAAATTAATACCATTAACGGTCGGGAACCTAAAGTGGTAACGTTTGAAACGTTAAACACTAGAATGAGTCAAAAAGTAGTTTAGACACTTATTCGAAAAAAGAGATATAGTTTGAACATTTATTTTGATATTAAGCCTAGATTTTAAATTTTATTATAAGATCGATATTGTATCTTTAAGTGTTATTAAAGAGATGATATTATATATTATAATTAATGAACATTATATTATTTGATTCTTTAATTATGATTAAAATATTTTTTTAATATTTTAAATAATATTTTTATATAAATTTAATAATAATCATAATTAAACTTTACCTTTTTATAGCCAAATAAATAATTTTATATTTTTAAAAATATCAGTTTTGGTTTTGAGAAAAATACATTAAAAAAATTTTACCCCATTAACGAAATTAGTTCAAGCGACAAATAATTTGATTTCACTTTGAGTATGTCTCAAATTTGAGTCTTTATAAATGTAAAAAACCATTTATTAAAGTTAAATTGGACGATTCCAATCGACTCAAAAAAAAACGTTGCCTCCCGGATGTTAGTTAGCTTCGGCACGCAAGCTTAAAATTATTCAAATATAAAATCATCGAAACAATTTTAAAATACATATGTATTTAGAGTATTACACTAATAAATACGTGATGACCCAGACAAGCATCATGATTCTTAGAAAGAAAGAAAGAAAGAAGGTGGAATTGGCGTGATCAAAGGAAATGGCGTGATCAAAGGAAATGGAGTTGGTAAGAGCGCAAGACTCTTAATCTTAGGGTCGTAAGATCGAGTTTTACGGTGAACAACTCATAATTTTGACTGTCGGAGGTCTTTCACAGAAACTGCTCTAAATCTGACGTTAGAGACAATCTACTATCCTACCTCCCCTTACCCTATTACATATGATAATAGAATCAGTTAATTTTTTTTTTAGTTTTGGACCCCTAGTAATGGTCTAGAGAATACGACATACAATTACACTTGTGACTCAACCTACTCTCATCCGATTATTACTATTAAATAAAGAGTAGATATTGTCTTGTGGGTCCCCTTCCCCCTTCACTCTGTCTCATCCTTGTCCATCTCACTTCATATGTCCACTTTTCAATCTTCTACTGCCACTATTCAACTACCGTTATTTTAACCTAATTCATAACTTTTACATACTTATATAATATTTGGAAATAGCAATTACTCATTTTCATTGTAGAAAGAGACAGAAGAAGATATTTTCAGCTAAAACTTACCATATATAATATATGACCAAATAGATCCCACCCATCAAGAACATATCCGAGAAGAGCAAAAAGGGAAGAAAATGGTTCTGCATCATAAAATGTGGGACGATGTTCTTGCTGGGCCTCAACCCGAGCGTGGTCTAGTCAAGCTTCGGAAGATCACCACCCAGCCCTTGTCCATCAAAGGTAAAATGATCCATCCTAATAAATAATTAACATGCATGCTCATGGATTTGATTAGTTTGAGTGACTCTTTGAGCAACTTACAGAGAGAGTTGATATATATATATATATATATATATGTTTTGGTTAGATGACGGAGAAGGGAAAAAGTTCCAGAGGTCGATGTCGATGCCAATGAGTCCAGGGGCACCGCCGACACCGGTGACACCAACGACTCCGACGCCGCGTAAGGAGAACGTGTGGAGGAGTGTCTTCCATCCTGGGAGCAACCTCGCTACTAAAAGTATTGGCGCTGATATGTTCGACAGACCACAACCTAACTCTCCGACTGTCTATGACTGGTACGTAACTCCTACTACTTGACATGCATGTTTTGTTTTGGGCCTGGGTGATCCACTATCCCATCTATTTGGTTGCTTGCTGAGATAAATGAATTCAAAATAATCATGGCAAGGCTGATATTAACTGGATAATTGCTTCTATTTCCCAATATATTATATATAATACAATGAAATTAAAAATTTTTAAAACAGAATCCTCAAGGAATTTCCTATGTTTGTTTTTTGTTTTCTCTAACGTTTTCTCAGCGACCAATCGGAGGCTCAGAGACAGAGAAGGAAGGAAAACTTGGCAATTTGTTTGGTAGCTGCGTGGAAATAATTCCTTTTGATCAGTATACACACTTGTATATGGTATAACACTAGTTGTTTCTTATTCTTAATTACTTATAATGGAAAAAAACCTAAGATGACTGGCTTTAAATAAATAAGATCAGATATTTTAAAAGGAAAAAATTGTATAAACTTTTAACCAATTTCATGAGGATTCTGAATCTGATTTCTGGGTATCAAAACTATAGTGTAGTACTAAGATGAAAGTACTCGGTTTGCCTGCAATTAACAGGCTTTACAGTGGGGAGACCAGGAGCAAGCATCGCTGAGTAGGTGGCGACTCATGGGCGGGCGGGAGGCTAGCAGCCTCGGAGAAGGCTGAAGCAGGGTTGCATGTAAATGGTGTATTTTCTATTTAATTTCCAATGTGCTAAAGGTGTGTTTTAATGCTAGTTTGATCATGTCTCGAATTACTGTAGTAGGTTTTTTAAGAGCGATGCCCAAGGCCAAGTAGGATCTAATTGAAAAATAATAATAATTGAAAAATAATAATAATATAGAGATGTACTATCACAACTATTACTAAATATGTAATGTATAATTATATTATTATATTATTTTTCTAGTAAGATTGAGTATTTTTACCTTAAACCCGAATTTAACTCAATTTGAACTCATACTCTAAAAACTCTATTTGAATTTTTTTTTCTAAAAGCTTGACCTTATAAGGTTAGATCAAGTCCAAATTCGTCATATTTGAATCTCATATCCATTCTTTCTATCAACACCTAATTTAGAAATATTAAAATTTTAATTTAGAGATTGAAGTTTATTTTTAAATCAAAATAAATATTATGATTCTTATTAATGATACGATTTGATCATGAATACTTAAGATTTCAACAACTTAATTAGCAATTTATAATGATTTGTATATAAGACTTAACCGTGCACGGACCCAAAAATATTTTTTTTGGTAGACACATATGTTAATACTATAAAATTTTTAAATGAGTTGAGTACAAACAAAATTTAAGGTGGACACTGTCTGTAAAATAAGTAATTGAAGAAAACTCAAATTTCAAGGTAAACACGAAAATTTCAAAGTAGACACCATCAACAAAATTTCATATGCCCACTCTCACCAAGCTATAACTCTTGCTTGAGACCTAACATGAATACTTAATATTTCAATGCATGCATAAATCAAGTGGTCTTCGTGATATATAAAAGAATTATTTTTATTTTTTTAGGATCTGGTTTAAACATCCTAAATACTAGGGGTGAACATTTAATATCAAATTATTAAAAATTATCTTTGTACTGATATTGTATTGTATGTACTCATATTGATAAAAAAAAATATTTCAATGCCTTAATTTCCAATTTTTAACGATTCGAAAATTAATAAAATGTTTAGATGGTTAATATTCGAGCTTGGTAAGATTTAAACTGTGTGGTATTTAAAACAAAATTATCATAACAAGTCATGTATATATACTATGTAATATTATATGTTGATATCTCTAAAACAGCTAATCACTCTCTCAAATCTCATTGTATTACTGATTATTAACCTGACAATTATAGGAAAAAAAAGAGAGAAAATAACCTCAGTGACCAAAAATCTCATATAATATACGATTTTAACCAACTTTTTCCGGATTTGCCAAAATGACCAACAAAATCGCAATGCGATCGCTAATTCGCAACGCGATCTCCATTATCGCAAATTCGCGTTGCATTTTCGCAATGCGATAGTTGAAAATCGCGTTGCGATGGTCTACAGTATCGTTGCGATTTTCCCAATTCGCAATGCGAATAAGTAAATCGCAACGCGAATTGGGAAAATCACAATGCGAATAAGTAAATCGCAACGCGAATTGGGAAAATCGCAATGCGATACTGACTATCGCAATGCGATAATAAAAAATCGCAACGAGATACTTACTTTCGCAACGCGATACTGACTTTCGCAACGCGATAATACATAATCACAATGCGATTTTCAAAGCGCCATTAGTATCCTGGCCAAGTATTTTATTTTTAAATTCCAAACATGAATATTAATATATTGGAACACTGAACTGTCCACAGTATTCCCGTAATCGCAACTCATAACCTAAAACCTAAAATCACAACTCAGTCCCATCTCCATCTCTCACTCTCTCACCCATCTCCGACGAAATCCGTCCCCATCTCCGGCTAAATCCGTCTATCTAAATCTCTCAGAGCCACCCTCACAATCAGAAATGGAAAATCAACCAAATCAACCAACGAGGGTTAGTTTTTTTAATTATTTTCTTTTTGAAATTTTTGCATTATTATTAGGTTTTTCATATTGAAATTGATGATAAGTTTACTGGTAATTTCAATAATAGATTAACCATTTCACTTAGATTGCTTATTAAATCAACAAAGAATCGCAACGCGAAATGCAACTCGCAACGCGATTTTAGTTTCGCGTTGCGATTCTCTCATTGCGATAGTCATTTTCGTGTTGCGATTTTCATTTTCAGAAACTATTCTTCTTCTGCAAATTGAAACTTGAATGAATTGCATTACTTCAACCAAAAAACAAAGACAAATACGAAATTCACAGTGTTGCATATTTAAGTTTGAAGAATAAACTACTACTATTTATGTTTATTATTGTTTTTGGTATATCTTCACAGTGTAGTTTTTGGTATATCTAATTTAGTATGTTTATTGTTTTTGTAGAACTTTTATTCGGCTCAATTGACCTTGAGAAATAAAGTCAGCCTGGCCAAAACAATTGCGTCGAAGCTTTCACCTGCACAAAGAAAAATGTTTGAGGATACATGCTTCGGGCCATGGCTGAAAGTACAACATCCCGGTGGAGATGCGATGTTGACACACCTGTTTCTTCAAACCATGACTAGCGATCTACCAGAGACTATACAACGTCGTGATGAAGAGATATGGTTTGATTTTCCACCGGCGTATACGTGTTTTGGGCGGGAGGAGTTTTGTTTAACCACCGGTCTACGCTTCGGACACGATGATGTAGGTCGGTACACTAGACACATTACCCGCCCATCATGGCTATCCCGGGTTTTTCCTAAGCTGGAGAGGCCGAGTCTACACGTAGAAGACCTGACAAGATTTTTGAATAATAAAGATGGTTTTACTCGGATGGATGACGTCGACGTTGTCCGAGTATGCCTTCTAATTCTTTTGCATGCCGGCTTTTTAGGCAGAGAGGCCAGACAACCTATTCCAAATGATCTAATCAAATTGGTAGAAGACCTAAATGCGTGGAACCTGTTTCCGTGGGGCTCGTATTTATGGAAAGCTACATGGAATAAGTTATCGTCTGCCTTGGATGATCGAAAAAGTTTGCATGGCGATGGTTCCAAATACACTTTGACAGGCTTTATTTGGGCCTTTAAGGTAAGAATTTTGATATGATGTTTCCAAAATTATAAGTAATTATTTAACAATTACTAATGTTTGTTATTATATTGTTTGTAGATTTGGATATTTGAGGCCTTTCCCGCCATGAAGACATATGCAATAAAAACTTCAAATGATATTCCCAGGGCTATTTCCTGGAAGAGGAAACGGACCTTGCAATGGGAAGATTTACTACGGTATACGACAATAAATAATGTAAGTTAACATAAATACTACCATATGTTTATAAACAAGTTATTGCTAGTACACGTTTAACTTTGTTTGAGTTTTTATATTGTTAGGAGGCCAACACTCCTCTACAGAGGCTGACACCCACGAAAGCTGAGCTTGCCACTGATTGGTGGCAAGCTAGTAAGCGTTTTTTTGATGGAACGGTTGATGAGCAGCCTCCACTTCGGGAGCCATCACCTCGCCCAGAGCTATCACCTCACCCAGAGCCATCATCTGATCGACCCGGCTATACACCTCCACAACGACAGCCATCACCTATTCTGTCACATCATCGAGCCTCTTCTCTACCATCACCGCAAGATAGGCGACCGGCAAAGATGCCACGACGTTTATCTCCCTGTTCTCTACCTCAACGGGACGAGTTAGGGGAGTTACGTGATGAGGTCAATGCCTTGCGTGAGGAGGTCGGTACTTTACGTAAAGACGATGGTGCATGACGTGTTGAGGTGTCTACATTACGCGGTGAGGTAGCCGCTCTACGTGAGATGGTAGCATCGTTGCATAATGAGGTTCACACTCTACGCAACGAGGTAAGTTTAAGATTTTTCATACTCGTAATTCATTCGGTTGCTGCCAATACTGCTAAACTGTTTTTGTTAGTATTTGTTTTTGGTTTTGTTTTTGTCTTTTGTTTGAAGTAATGCAATCCATTCAAGTTTCAATTTGCAGAAGAAGAATAGTTTACTTTCGCAACACGAAAATGACTATCACAACGCGGAAATGGCTATCGCAATGCGAAATGAAAATCGCAACGACAAAATCGCAACGCGAAATGAAATCGCAACGAAAAAATCGCAACGCGAAATGAAAATCGCAATGCGATTTGTGTTTCGCGTTGCGATTTTGTCGTTGCGATTTCATTTCGCGTTGCGATTTTGTCGTTGCGATTTTCATTTCGCATTGCGATAGCCATTTCCGCGTTGCGATAGTCATTTCGCGTTGCGATTTTAAGTTTCGTGTTGCGAAAGTAAACTATTCTTCTTCTGGAATGTTTATATGTTGTCCTTTTAAATGTTTATATAAGTGCTTACTTCTGGAATGTTATCTGAGCATTTTGTGAACTATGATAGAATAATGATTTGGGTGAATACAATGCTAGTTTGAAACATATTTGTCTTTGTTTAATATCATGTCTGTTTATTTACTGATTTATGTATTAATTTTTTTAGCGGCCCGATAAGGTGGATGCTTTACGTCGGGTTTTCCTTGCACGACGGAGTTCACGCATCAGACGGCGTGGACGTGCTATTACGTCTCCGTTCACCCCAATGGTGCGAAGACTCCGCAAGAAGAAGCCCGACTCACCGGTCATCCCTCAAGAGTCCCCTCCAATCGTTCAAGAGGCCCCTATTCTCCCTAAAGATTCCCCCCCACCGTTCAAGAGGCCACTGTCATCGTTGAAGAGGTCCCTCCCACCATTCCAGAGCCCGATTCACATGGGGTAATATATCGAAGTATTGAGAAACCCCCACCGGTTCCGGACATGATGGATGAGAGTTGGCTCTCGTATGAGTTACCGGCTAGTACCCTTCCGGTATCTGAAGTGGAGAGGAGACAACTACCGGAAACAATTGTAGATAATACCCTTTGGGCTAAGACCGCAGTTGATTTTTATCTACATGAGCGGAGCCAAGGGTGTTACACTGACATCAGCAAACTCAACGATGAAATGTTTTTGTTGCTTGATCGGTCTTGGTGGGGTGTGCTATT